GGGTTCTATGTCCCTTATCTTTGAGAGCCCTAAGCAGCCCGTCCACTACAAGGTTCCACAGGAGTGGAGACAGCACTCCACCCTGTGGACATCCTCTCGCTACCCGTGCCGCTGTTGTCTCTCCCATAAGGGTTGTGTGTATAGTTCTCTCCCTTAACATAGAGTCGATCCAGGGCACGCATGTGTCCTCGATTCCTCTGTGTTTGAGAGATCTAATGATCGATTCAACGGACATATTGTCAAATGCACACTCGATATGCAAGAATGCTCCCAGCATTACCTGCTTGTTTTCCAGTGTGTTCTCCACCCTTTTTATTAGTTGATGGAGAGCTGTTTCAGTTGATTTCCCTGCACTATAGGTGTATTGGCCTTGGTATATTGGCCTTTGAACCAATATCCCGTCTCTAATATGCCTATCTAGCAGTTTTTCCAAAGTCTTAAGTACGGACATAAGACTTATTGGAATTAGGGATTTTGCCGTTTTCTGTCCCATTTTCCCAGGTTTTGGTATAAAAGTTACCCTAATATTTCTCCAAGCTTTTGGTATGTGTCCAAAGGCCAGACTACTTGTGAGTATGTTACAGAGTCTGCTGTATATTGTCCACATAAATTAGTATTTAAGTAAAGTTGGTATATAAATTAGTATTGAGTAAAAATAAATTAGGTACAAAATAAATTAGTGTATTCACTATAAATAATTTATAAATTAATAAACTGTTTCAAATAAATAAACGTTACAATAAGTAGTAAACACAAAACATTGCTAAAATTAAACCTATATTAATATAAATTAAAATATTATTTAATAATAGCAATGTAACGTAATAACTAAAAATTGTAGAGTGGTTAAATTTAAAGCATTCAATTCAAAATAATATAAACCACAAAAACTATGAAACGTTATAGGATCTACTATTATAAGGAATTTTTTCAGTTTCCTCCTTAAAGCAGTAAAAAAGTCACTGAAAGAATGTCGTATATGCCTACCGTCTTTTAAAATGTATTTTTTTAAATCTATATTTATATTCTGTAACTGTATATAAATGTCCAAATTCTTTTAATGCAAATCATTTCCTGTGCGGTCTTAATTTTCTAAAAACCTATTTAAAAAAATTGTATGAAAACAATTTGCGGTTGTCCCATCAAATGTGTTAATCTTAAAATAAAATTTTATTTTTGAAAGTAACATCATACAATGATTAAACGCAAAAATACTGTATATTTCCTACAAAGCTTATTTTAGAAATGTTTTTTGTAAAGACAAAAATTAATAAAGTTTTGTAATTCTTGTTACATTTTTGATTAACCAATATGCTCTAATACCCTACATATTGTACACAGAAGGTATTAAATATAGAAAACATACTATTTATGCACTATAATGTGAATAAAAGAAGAGAAAATTAAAAAACGGTTTACCTACAATATAAAATTATGCTTCTTTATGAATTACTAAGCTAATAAACCTAACAGTCTTGCTCCAATTCCGTTGCTAATTGGTTGTTTTTTCGTTGAATTTAATTAATCAGTAAAATCAAATTTGTTTCACTACTTCTATAAATTGAATAAACAGCTAATATCCTGCAATAAAATGTATTTATCTCTAAAATCTAGGGTAAATAAACAATCATTTAAAATTTTGAATGGTAAATTCACTGCGTTGGTGTTAACCACTTGCAACTTTATTGTTTATTATTTTTATAACATCTTTTATAAATGTTTACACAAGAAAAATATTCCTAAATTTTGTAGCTTATTTGGTCATGAGACATAGAAAACTGTTTTAGTCCCAACATTTCTACATCGCTGTTGCGGTAGAACAGTCACACAACTACAAAAAGTCAAATTTTTTAGTAGTGGCAAAAACGAATACGGATTTCCTTTATGTTTCACCAAAACGTTGCATAAATAGTCGCAACTTCTAAAATATCGTATAAGTAAGTCAAATAGGTGTTTCTTCAAATGGGATGTACTGTAAATATTATATTTTCTAAGACCAATGATGGACTCCATTATTGAGAATGTTGCATTTGCGTCACTGTTTTACCGGAATAGCTAATACTATATTTATCTAGGTATACTTCCCTTATATATACCCTGGATTAATAACAATATACAGGGTGTTTCATTAAGAATGGGACACAGCCCAGCAAACATTTTGGTTTAATTTGACGTCGAGACTACCTAAAATATGTATAATAAATTTGGTCGCAAAATTAGATTTAACCATATTTAAGGAAAATTTACGTTATCTCGACGTGGATTCGACATAAGTGGAAAATAAGACGACGTCGAAATTTGGTTTTATTTACCAAAATAGGTAAAATTACGCCTAAATCCACATTGTAGTAGCCTTCTCCGTTTGGTTAGTAATACTTCTTTAGGGAAATTTGACGTCAATATAACGTCAATTCGACGTTGATTAACCAGCTTTAGGTAGAAACTACAAAGATTTTCAGATGACGAACGACTTCAAGTGCACAAAAAGATAAATTTAGGAAGTGACCAACACAACTAAAACATCAAAGATTGAAAATAAATAAATGTCGATAACAAAAATATATATGTTATTTAATTACGACGAATCAATAGGTTACGTTTGTTAAAATTAATGCGAAGGAAATTTTGTCGTGCATGTTAACAGTTCTACTTTGAAAAATAACAATGCCCTTCCAAAATACTCTTTAATAAGGAAAAATATAAGAAGAAATATTATGATGTAAAAAAGTTATAATAATATTATGAGCTAAAACTATGTTACATTTATTGTGTATCACTTTAGAATATCAATAATGTTTTTTTTTTGTAATTTTTATCCGTTCTTTTCTAGTTAAGTTAATTTAAAAAATTTGAAATTTGGAATCGTACTTCAATTATTTCAAGAAAATATGGCGTATTGTGCTAATTCGACTTAAAAGTTAATACGACCATAGAAATCTACGTAATTTACAAATAGCTTTTGACTAAGTTGAATTACCTTAAAGATAACGACATGTTAGTTAACTTTACCTATTTAAAGAATTAATAATTTGTAAGTTTTATCGAAAATTTACCTGTAGGTAAATGTAACATATTTAGGTCACCCTATTTTTGGAAATGTTACCTATTAGTAAATGTCAGCTATATTAAGTGTAAATTTTTATTTAACGTGTGTTGACAAATCAATTTACTGGATACTGGAGTAATTTGTTTAGTTTTCATGTTATACTGCACTTGAGATTTAAAACGTTTGACTTTACGAAAAAAATCGAAAGTGTATTATTTATTACTTTTTGCATTTATTTATAGCTCTATACGGCAAGAGAACTAAGTTTACCATTGTAATGGTTTTTAAAATGCCCGAAATTCTTAAGAATAATGACGAGAACAATAAGTGAACAATCTAATTGTTAAAATAACCTAAATAATATAAATTTTACAAATAGGTTATATATGGCAGGTTTTAAATTGGTGGTTTATAGTCGAAATTACTTTGTAGTGGATTTTTCAAATAATTGCTACAATAAAGTTAGTATTTATTTATTCAGGATGACTTTTAGGTCAACTAAATGAGTAATCGGCTATTTGGTTGAAATTAAGTAGAAAAACAAGGTATAATTTTTCTACAATATCGACCTTATATTACTTTAAAGTAGAGTAAATAAAGCATCCAAATAGATTACTATATAGGTATAAAGTTACGAAAAATGTTCAACCAAATCTACCTAGTAGGGTATTCTACTATTAAGACGAATTTTAGTTGCCAAGCAGGTAGATGTTACCTAATTATGATACCTAATTTTACTTTAAAGGAAATTTACCTTTGAGGTTATTTTTGGTTATTTTTGTTAGTAGTTTTCCCCTTTCCGATTTGGTTAAATTTACTTTTAAGCAGATATGTGTACGAGGTAGATTTCTTGGTATAATTTACGTATATTTATACATAAATTAGAACCATTTGGTAAATTTGAAGTACAGGTATATTTTTCTAGTCAATTTTACGTAATAACTACCTCAATAAGTAAATTTGACTTTTAACAAGTCGAGTTATAGCTAATAATATCGAAAATGTTTGCTGGGAATTGGAATACACTTTTACATTTTTTTATGTTTTCTAAATACATCATGTACTTTTGTTGAGAACTCATTTGGAAAAATGTTGGGAAACATTTTTGATGTAAAATTTTTAGATACTGAAAATTTTTGTATTTTGTTATCTATTTAGATTATCCTGCTATATTGATTTTTGAAAATATCATTCAGTAAATCAAAAAAATAAACGAGCTATGAGGGTAAGAGCCATGGGCTTGATGCAATTTTTTTTTATTTTTTAAGGGGGAAGAGAAAAACAAATTAAATTTTTATTTTCACAATATAACTTTGGGTTAATTTACTGAATGAAATAAATAAATAGATGGTTTAACTAAACTTTTGATGCAAACATAAAATATTTTCATTTAATCATCATAATTGAATTCTGATGCGGAAGTTTCTTTATCATCTGGCGAAAAGTTCTGATGGTATCCTCTGATTTCTTCATAGAATCACTGATCACATTGTGGCACATAATTTTTCGCCAGAGTCATGACGTGATGAAATTTTTTTTTTTTTAAGCTTTCGTCTTTCACTATGCATCTTATTTATAGGGTTTGGTAAGGTCAGGGGCTGCACATTTCAAAATCATTGAACAAATTGAAAGAGACTGTTTCACTGCATTTAAATGATATTTCAGTAACTAGTCATTCATAACGCATGATTCGACATTTTGAAATCGTAAATTTATTGTTCTTTGAAGGAGTCTTTACAAAATAACTGTTGCAAATGGGCCTTGAAATTTAAAAATATATCCTACGTTACATGAATAACTTTAAAGTTCTTATTTGTATATTCACATTTTACAATAGGCTTGATATTTTGATTTTCATGAAGTAACTGTTCAGGTTTATATTTCTGTTGGTACATGTGATGCATTTTGGCAATACTGAAGAGAGGTGATAGGTAATAGTGGTTCAAGTTGTCTTTTAGACTATAATGTGATTTGTATTTTGGATAACCAAGAGTATCTTTTCATCAGTGCTTTTAGGTAGTTTATTAAGCCTGAACAGATGCTTTCCTCTGCTATCTATAGGAGGAGCTCCGCGTGTAATATTTAGGTGCTTCTGCAATCGCTCAAGTCTTGCTTTTGTGATTCCATGAAGAGAGAGGAGTGCTTTTTTGTAAATTTTCCGCATCACACCATTGCAGCGAATCTGAAATAATACCACGAAGTTAAACTAAACGAATTATTTTATATTGCAATTAGTAAATTACCTTGTAAGTAAATGTTGCATTTTTTTTATTTCCATCACCGGAACGTGGTCTAGCTCTCTGTACTTCTATCTTGAAAATATTGCCATACAAATATGCATCCTGCAGATCTTTTGATTTCATAGCACAAAAATCACGAAATATTACTTCTCAAGTTTCTTGTCCGATTTCATCAAATCATTTTAGTTTACAGTGGCAGTTACTACCAATATGTTTTCCTGTAACGTTTATATAAGGCTCTCCCTGAGTTCTTCTAGCTTTCTGTATGTTTCTTTTCCATGATTCACTACGTGTAAGCCGATTTTTTCCTCGTTGTGGTGTGTTTTCAAGAATTCCAGGTATTTAATCACTTCCATCTTCAAATGTAACAGGACGTCTTCTAACAGTTCCAGTGCCTTGAATTTTCTCATCAGAATCTTTGGAAGACGAGCTTGTTAAAAGTAGTCTTTTGAGGTTAGGGTTATGTTTGTTATTAGCCGGCACATAATTTATTTAAAATTCATAAAAATTCAAAATTATAGTTCAAATAAATGTTTGGAGGGTGGCGTAAAATTTAAAAGGAATGAAGGTGTTACTTACCCATGCCGTACGTCACTGGCAAAGTTTATTTAACTGATTTTTTTGCTGATTGGTGTATCTTGTGACACCAAAATATTGGCTCAGTGCAATTTCATAAAAAAAATCAAAATTAAAAATTAAAAAGTAAATTAAAATGAGAGTGAATATCTCGAAAACCAATAACTTTATGAGTTCCCAACAAGAGAACATAATTTATTTAAAAAAGAAGAGAACATTTAAAAGTATAGTACAAATAAGTTTTTGGACAGCGGCGTAAAATTTAAAGGGGATGAAAGTGTTAATTATCCGTGTTGTACGTCACTGGTAATGTTTATTTAAAAACAAATATTTTATTAAATTCTACAAATTCACAAAGAGGTTACAACCTTTTATCAAATACTGTAAAACGAAGTTATTGTTTATTTATGTCGGTAGAAGAAACAGTAGCTTTTGTAACTTTTCTCTTTACAAGAAAAAATAATATTGTTCTTTAAAGTAATCGTCTTATTATCCTTTTTGACTAGGAAAATACTCACTTTCGCAACAATGTATGATTTTTACTGTCAGTTAAAATCTAATCTAAAATAACCTCATCACAACTTAACAAATAATACATGTTTTTTTTTTATGATTACCTTTCCCAAGATTTAACTTTTACTTTCTCAAAGCTATTATTATTATCTCAACTAAAATTGGTGTTATTAATAACCTGAAAAACAAAAAGAACAGTTTAGAGGTTTTAATTTACATACAAAGCGATATTTTAAATTAAATTATTAAATTATGTATATCATTCATTTCATTTACAGTAAATGCCGGTACGACAGATACCGTGAAACGCATTAAATAAATAAAAATTAACACAAATATTTTAATATGGGAAGTTTGACGTCACAAAATTTGTTAAAATTAAACTATGCTGAGATGGTGAAGTTTTTGAAAATCAACATTTTAAGTGGAAAATCAGGATGTCGGATAGTGACCGATTTAGGCGCCCCATTTTCGCATACAAGCCTCGAAGAGGGTTGAAACGTACATCGATGTTAACTAGAATAAAAGAAAATTTACGAGTGGCTCTTAGGGTCAACACATGGAAAATTCGATTTTCCTTATCAGAATTTTACGACCCCAAAATGCACTTATACATTCGGGTCATTCAAGAAAATATAATGTTTTTAGTGACGACGTATATTTTCATACATTCGATAGGCGTATGTGGAAAAATCGGGCAAAATCTCAATTTTCCTTAGAAGATTATGCCCTTATTCCAATCCTTTAGCCACTTGCAACATTAAAGCCTTTGGTTTTCCGAAGCCTAGTTCTATTAATTAATTATATAGTAAAAACGGCTTTTGTGGAAAAATGAGCAACAAATAAAGATAAGAAAAGTTGGAACGTTGAGTGTTCAATCTTGTTAATGTGTCGGAGAAATAAATAAAGGAAATATAAAACAAGGCAAACTGAAAATTTATTGTAAAGATTAAAAGACAGAGAGATCAGACAGAGCAGATAGTGCAGAAAGGTAGAACCAGTACCAGTTAGATTAGACAAAGCAGATAAAGCAGACAGACAGTTACCAGTATCAGTTAGATTCCATAGAGTAGTACGTGACTGAGCAACAAGCAGAACGAATTTTTTGTCTTGAGCAAATTTTTTTTTTCGACTACTGGGTATTTCCATATAAAGTGTCGCCAACCAACGTTGGACAAGGAATTTTTGGACTGAATTTTGGAAAATTAATATAAAAAATTGGAATTTAAATTTGAGTAAGCCTTTTTTATAATTTTTTTTATTTAATTGTTGATTTTGGTGTATAAATTCGAAATAGTAGATAAAAGTAGTCGGTGCAAGTTTTAAATATAAAATTATAAATGGGATAGAAAGGAAAAAAAACATTTAAGAGGGGAAAGAAGGTTGGAATGGAAGAAAAACAATCTGAAGAAGTGGAGGAAGTTAAAAATGGGGAGATGAATGAGCAAAATGTAAGTAATATAGTTACTGAAAATAAAAAAAACAAGAGAAGAAGTTGATAAGGATGAAAGAAGATAGGATTGCATATAAGAGAAAGAAAGATAGAGGTGATATAAATCTGAAGATGCTGATAAAAATGAAGAAACAAAGAAAAGGCTGGATTAGGGAACTGAAAGAAAAATAAATGAAAAAGAACTCAAAACAGGAGAAAAGATATAGAAAACCAGGAAACAAAATGAAGGAAGGAAAAAGAAATATTAAAGCCTAAAAAATAAAGTTATTATTAAACAAAATGTTGAGAAAATAAAACAAATGAAAACATAAGTAAAATATAAGAAAGAATTGGAAAAAATATTAACATATAGAAGATTTGCAGAAAAGGAAAGAGTGCGGCCGAAGGTAAAATAGTAGTAAAATTCAGATGGGTGACAGAAATTCGGAATTTTAAAACTAGTTTAGAAGACGTAAGTTGGATAGATAAAGTGAATAAAATAGAAATAGGTCAATAGTAAGTGTGAGATTGTACATAGTATATAAAAGTGGAAAAGAAGACAATATCGGTAATACTAATTAAAAAAATAGAGGTAACAAAAGTATTTATAGTTTGATTTAAAAAGCAAAGATTTTGTGCATACACAGGAATTTAGAAAAAAAAGGTGTTGAAAAGTAACAGTATAATAATAGTAATAATAATACTCTCCCTAATTCATCCCCATACGAGTGAATTTTAACCTCTGAAGTCGACTAAACGACTTGTGTAGAGGAAGGAACGGCTATTATTATTATTTGCCGTGGCGCTCCGGGGCGACTTATAAAATATTTATGTTATTTACCCTATTCGCGATTCTAGCTAAGTGATACGCCATCTGGAGGAAATTTGTAGAAGGTCCCTATGAGTAGGATATCGTTCAGTGTTGCCAGAAGTAGCAAAATTTCTCTAGTCGTCGGATTTTAGCTCTTGAAGAAGTGGATAAGACCTTTTATTTAAGAATCAAGATTTGTGTAATCAAACTCTACATTTATTTAAGGATTTTTTTATAAAACCGATTTATTATATTGATTTTTTTTAATTTCAGTTCATTTATTTATTTTGTTTTAAAATCAGTTCATCATATTCATGACTTAATTGAATTAAACTAAAACATCTAAATAAAAATTAAACCTAAAGTAAGCTCTAAAAAAATAAAAATTAAAAAAAACATTAAATTTAACCAAATAAGTGTAATCATTTTCATGCTTTCCTGTTGTCATCAAAAATTGTTCATTGCTTTTCATCTTTTTTTGTCATAATTTACAATTCGTTTGTTAATTCTACTTTCATCTGTCAATGTGTGTTTTTACATGTTCTTGAAAATTGAAAATTGTGTTTTGTTATATTCTAATGCTTTTTCTTTTTAGATAATTTTTTTAACTAATTATAATATTTATTAAGAACGCATTATTATTATTATTATTATTATTATTATTATTATTATTATTATTATTATTATTATTATTATTATTATTATTATTATTATTATTATTATTATTATTATTATTATTATTATTATTATTATTATTATTATTATTATTATTATTATTATTATTATTATTATTATTATTATTGTTATTGTTATATTTATTTGTATTAAGTATTTAATTTAATAATATTAACTACTCTTATTATGCTCATGTTCATGTTCATATTATTAATTAATCATTAGTCTGCCAGCTAGTACAATTAATTATTATTATTCATGTATATTATTTATTATTATTATTAATGCACATATTTACATTTATTAATATTGTAATTACTATTGGTATTATTATTAATCTTAAGTCTATTGTTATAATTATTAATTTTTATCAGCAATTATGACGCTACTAATAAACAGGAGTAATTTCCGAGCACAACCTTATGGTTTTTTCGGACTAACCCATGTTTATTTACATTAAAAGAGAATTTATTTGTAAAAAAAAAAATATGTAAGAAGTAAAATAAACATTATTATTATTATTATTATTATTATTATTATTATTATTATTATTATTATTATTATTATTATTATTATTATTATTATTATTATTATTATTATTATTATTATTATTATTATTATTATTATTAATATTATTATTATTATTATTATTATTATTATTATTATTATTATTATTATTATTATTATTATTATTATTATTATTATTATTATTATTATTATTATTATTATTATTATTATTATTATTATTTGGCAACATTGACGTTCGTGTTCATTGTTTACATTTTAATTTGTATCAATTACAATTCGAGTTTTTTCTTACTTTTTAGCTTTAAATTTGTTTTATATAGTATGTGATAGTGTTTATATTAAAAATGAAATCTGCGAAAAAATCCCCAGCAAATTGCAATCTATATGGTGTTAATGTCATAATCAAAACTGAAGTATTCATTATTTTCCAAGTGCAAGTCGTAATTTTTTTTTTACCATAAATAATGGATATCTACAAATTCACAATATTGATATTTTGCAAAACTTTGTATAGAATCAAACTGTAATCTGATTTGTGACGGTTTTATTACCATTTACATCTATACAAAGTACTACATAATTCACTTC